TGGCAAGGGCCTGATCTGTTTTCTTCCTCAGAGCAGCTGCTGCTGTCTGCTGGGCAGAGAGGGCTGGCTCTTCCCGAAGTAGGGCAGGGCCTCAGCCAGCAAGCCCCTCTCTTACCCTCTCCCCAACTCAGGCCTTTGTCTCTCCCACCTCCCCCCACCCCACCCCAGGAAGAGGAGATCCCCGAGCTGGAGATTGATGTGGATGAACTCCTGGACATGGAGAGTGATGATACCCGGGCTGCCAGGGTCAAGGTGAGAGGGGTGGCAGGGTCAGGTTGGGGGAGCTGGAGTGGAGGGCTGCAGGGAGGCAGTGCCAATTGGGTAAGTGAGATTCTGGGGCCAGGCCTTTTGTCTGACGCACCAGCTCTGTGGCACTGGGCCTCAGCTTCTGCCTCCAGCAGACCGGGCCCTTGCTCCTTGCCTAGTGATGGCATCCTGACCTTCGGGGTGGCCCCAGCCCCTTGGAAGTGGGCAGGGTCAACTCCAGGCCCCTGTTCCTGAGAACTCAGCTATACTTTCCCCCTGTGTCCCACTAGGAGCTGCTGGTTGACTGTTACAAACCCACTGAGGTAAGTGGTTTCCCCAGAGGGTGGGGGAGAAGAGACTGGGCTCCTGTCTTCTTGGAATGTCTTCCTAACGCCCTCCCTCTTGTCCAGGCCTTCATCTCTGGCCTGCTGGACAAGATCCGGGGCATGCAGAAGCTGAGCACACCCCAGAAGAAGTAAGGGTCCTCAACCCAGGTGAACGGTGGCTCCCACAGGACAATCGCTGCCCGCTGACCTCGTAGCAACAGCAATACCAAGGGGCCCTGCGGCCAGGCCTGGTGCCATGAGCAGGGCTCCCTGTGCCCCTCACTTAGGGGCCTCTTCCCTGCCCCTTGTTTTCCATTTTGGGGTTTTTTTATTATTATTAAACTGATGGGACTTTTTGTGTTTTTATATTGATTCTGCGACGCGGGCCCTTTAATAAAGCTAGGATATGCTTTTGGTGCCGCTAACAGGCTTGGTTGGTCTCTTTTAGGGGGACACGCTGCTCTGTAATGGTTACCAGCTCAGCTTCTCCCCAAGTGACTGTGGGCCTTCCTGAAGGCCATGTAGTCATGGTGATAGCCCAGTGTTGGCTCCCAGACCTGGAGCTAAAAGTGGCTGGGGAGCAAGGGAGGGGGGGGCACTGTTGCTGTTGGCAGCAAGGATTCTTTTTTCACTCTGGGCAAGGGCCACCATGCCACCCAAGGCCTGGCTATCTTGACCCCCCAGGCTATTGAGCCTAGATCCCAAGGTTCTGAAGCCACAAAAGGAGACGGGTACAGGATGCCGAGGAAGAGTAGAGGCTGGGACTGTGGTTTCTAAGTCTCTCGGGGCCCACAAACACACACAGGCTCATTTCATGAGCTTTAAGATTTTTTTTTTTCTTAAACAGTCTGGTCCCTGATGGGGCCTCGCCACCGGCCCTCCCCAGCTTGGCTACAGTTCTGCACGTCGCTCGATTTTGAGCAGCTCCACCTCGAACACTAGGGTTGCACCACCTGCAGCAGAGAAGTGAGGCAGAATGAGAACCAGGGCCACAGGAGAGGGGATAGGTGCAACAGATAGGAGGCAAGAAGGTATATTACCTGGGATCTTTGGGGGAGCTCCCCGCTCTCCATACCCTGTCAAAGATGCACATACAAAAAACACAAAGTGAGCTGTGGTCAGATAGAGAGGTTCTGCAGACATCCAGGCTGAAACCAGGCTTCCGCCCAGCTCAGTAACAGCCAGCAATGGAGGTGTATTGGGTGAGAGGGGGCTACAAAGGTCAGATAAAGGGCACAAGGTGGACATCAGAGCTGAGTGCCTCAAGGGTCTTGCCCTGGAATTGCTGGACACAGTTGAACTTGGAAGAGGCATGAACTGTAATGAATGGGTGGGGGAGACCAATACAGAGGCTGAACCAAGCCTTCACCCTTCCCCAAACATACCCGAACCCGAACCCACTCAGGAAGGACCTCTTACCCAGCTCTGATGGGATCACCAGCTTCCGCTTTTCCCCCTCACACATCCTGCAGGACAACACAGTCAGCATGTGGCAGCACTCAGGCTCCCTGCCCGCCCCCCCTTTCCTGGGGCTTGCCTCCCACAGTTCACCTGGACCACAGCCATGGCCCCTGACTCACCCCAGCAGCCCCTGGTCCCAGCCCTTGATGACCTGGCCCGTGCCCAGGGAGAAGACAAAGGGCTGGTTCTGGGGCAGGCTGCTGTCAAACTCCGTCCCATCTTCCAGCTTCCCCTGTGGGACCATGAGAAGGCCAATGAGGAGGTTCCTCTCTGTTAGCACCCCGCCCCCATCTACCCTCATCAAGCTGTCCCCCACAGAATTGGTGGCCATAGTCGTGGAAGGGGACAGAGCCTTAGGCAGCTCACAGTACACTGTAACTCTTTGTTGGTGCCAATCTGGGAAGTAGACAGTGAAGAGCAGGATAGAACTGTGGGAACTGGCAGAGGGGAGAAGGGACTTGCCCAAGGTCACCCACCTTGGGGGGGGGGCTGGCTCCCAAGTTGTTTTTGGCCCCCGAATCCCCACCCACGTCCAAAAGCTCCGCCTCCTCACCCACCGTGTAGTGCATGTGCAGGACATCCCCCTTGCGCGATTTGATGGGACAGTGGTCTACCCGCTTCTTGACCCCGATCTGCAGTTTCCGTTTGCCCTCGGCCCCCGCAGCCGTGGCCAGGGCACTCAGGCAGATGGACAGTACTGTCAGGACCCAGCTGAGTCTCATGTCTCTGCGGGAACAGATCCCGACCAACCAATCGACCGGGAGGGCAGGAAGGGGATGGAATACCTGCAGGTAGTAGGATTCCACACCACCGTACCTTGCCTGCCCCTGGGGATCCCCTCGTCCCGGGTCACCACCCTCTCCCCCAGGCTCCGCGGTCACACTTACCAGTCCAGGGAGAAGGGGGCTTGCCCGAGGACCCCAGCAGCGGGGGGAGGGGGTAAGGGGAGGCCACAGCAGCCAGGGCCCCGCCCCTTTGTTCACCCTCAGCCCCTCCTTCCCTCCTGGACCCCAACTCCGTTCTTCAATTCCCACCGGACCCTTTACGCAAAGTCCAGACCCTATCTGGCTGCACAGCAGTTGCCCTGACCGGGCGACACCACTCACGCCAAACCCAGTCGCCCCCTGCCCAGCACACCCACACCTCTGCCGCCGCTGCAGGGGATCGGCCTCGAGGCACCCACACATCGCCGCTGGGTGGCTCCGGGGAGCCCCGGTCCTCTGGGGAGATCCCCCAGGCCGACCCTGTACCTCCGCCCGGGGCGCCTCCCCAACTCTGAGCCCTCGGGGGTCTGCGGGGCACCCAGACTGGCCCCGTGTCGGGTGACCGTCGAGCCCGCTCAACCCACACCACCTCTCCTGGGGGAGTTCTCGGCCTCCCACGCTCCCAGGCGCGGCCACCACGGAGACCGCCCCCGCGTGGACGCCCCGGGCCATTACCTGGGTCTACCCCTGCGATTGGGTCCTTGGCCCCACCCTTTAGAGGGCGTGGTTTCGCCCCCAGCCCTGGAGCCCCACCCTCGACAGAACTAGATCCCTTTTCCTGAACTGTACCCACGCCACTCACCGGCTGAAGCCCCGCCCCCAGCGCCTGGGCCTCGACCCCCTTCGTCTCCAAACCCGAGGCTCCGCCTTCCGCCTGTTCCAGCTCCTCCTCCAAGGTCCAGGCTCCGCCCCCGACAAGTCCTAGCCCCGCCCCCAGCCCCAGAGTCCCGCCTTCCGCAGATACCAGCTCAGAGGCCCCACCCGTTTCTGTTCCACGTCCCGCCCCGACACCCGGGGCCCCGCCCCGTGCGGCGTGAGGGCCCTCCCCCTGCGGCATCCCCGGACAGCTCCCGCACCAGCCTCCAGGTTCCTCGTACCCTGCCCTCCTTGACACTCGGGACCCCGGCCTGACCCAGCCTGCCCGCGTACACCCCGGCTCCCTCAGCCCGGGCTGTGGCCCCCGCTCACCTCCTCACCGCGCCCCCGGAGTCAACTCGTCGTGCCGCCGCCTCTGCGCAGGCGCGTCATTGCAGCTACCAGCCCGGGCCACGCCGCCCGCCCTCATTGGGCCGCACGAATCCCGCCGCCACCCGCCCGCGGGGGAGGGTATCGCCCTAGCCCCGCCCTCCAGCACCACGTGACTTTCGTCACTTCCTGTAGAGCGGTAGTCCGTAAGGTTAGGTGAAAGTGACTTCCGAAAGGACCACCGGCACTTCCGGTGGAGGTGAGATTAAGGTCAGGGGGCGCGGTCCCTGGAGGGGGTCTTGAGACGCCATTTTGCGTCGCCCCGAGCCTTGCCCGCGACGTCTCTGGGGGGTCCTCGGGACCCACCGCTCCCAGTTAGTTGCTGTGGAAAGACTCGGCCTCAGAGTGAGACGGGTTTGAACTCAGGGCCCGCCGGTCACTGACCAACTCTGACCTTGAGCAAAGTTCCTGGCCTAGCGGGGTTTGGCGTCCCTGTGTCACCCACCCTGCAGGACCCACCGCCAGGCGCCGCCACAGCCGGTGCGCTCCCATCTCGCCCCCGGCGTCCAGGCTTGCCTCTGCATGTCGCCCATTGACCACCGACTCAGCCTGCAGTGATGTGGCTGTTATTTTAGGCGCCCAGTACCCAGCAAACATCTCCATTAAGTAGCGACTCCGCTGCGAGCAGGCAGCTAAACCTACCGAGTTAGAGACAGCTGATTTGAGGCCAGATCCCAGGTCAATCAGCCTATTTCATCAAATGAAAAGGAAGATAGTCACAGAGCTGACTGCAGAATTGAGGACTCAGCAAGGAGGTGGTGCCAAGCATCGTGCGTGTCCAGTAAGGCCAAGTGGACGCAGATGGTAGCCCTGGGTCTCTAACCCTCATCTCTCATCCCAATGGGGCTACGGCATTTTCACCGAGGGCATGGCTATCATGACATGAAGATACTAATCACTCAGGAACTGTCTCTTCTGGGCTAACCCCACTTTTGCCTTGGGCCCAACCAGATCGCTATCACACCCTCAAGTCCGACACCACGAGGGTGGGTGCTTCGCATTGGCCTCTCCCTGAAGGTCCTGCCTCAGCAGGGCAAAGCCATTTGTACCGAGTTGGCCTTTGGACCACCCCACTCAGCGCCAGGCAGCAGGGGAGTCTGCAGGCAGCAGGCTGGGCAGGGAGCTTGGACTGCGGCAGATAAAGGTCAGGAGAGTCCCAGCAGGGGCACCCAAGGTGAAAGGGAGGTGAAGGTGGAGAAAACTGGGGGATTGGGGTCGGGAGGCCCATCTCTCAAACCAAGCCCACCAGCCACAGACCTTTGGTGCTTCCCACTCAGGGAGGTGGGAGTGAGGTGGGGACAAGGCAGGTGCACAGCGTTAGAGTTAAGCTACAGGGGGGCAAAAAGCAGGAGACACAGTGCTGCCCAGCAGGGGAGATGGGTGTTCTTTTCTGTTATGTCAAAACATACGCAAACCTTCCTGCAGCCCAAGGCCCCAGAACACAGTGCTCATCTGCGTCCTCCATGTGCACAAGTGGGAAGCTGAGGCCCAGACAGAGGGGCGGTGACACCCAAGGTCATTCAGCAGATCTGCTTCCCGCCTCAAACTCACTGGCCATAGCAGGCCGTCTCCCTCCAGAGCAGGGGGCAGGGACTGGCAATAACATGAGTGTGAAGAACACGTGACTGGGCTCTGAGAGTGACTTGGTGTGGGGCCTTGGGCCTCATTTACTCCATCTGCACGGTGAATGGAGTACGAAGCTCTAGGCCGAGGAGGCAGTGTAACAGGCATCCATGCTTGAACCAGCCAGACAAACAGTGACACAGGCAGGGAAGCTCCGTCCATCTCTTTTATCAGGGTCGGGGGTCACAGTTCTCATACCAAAGCCCAACTCCCATTATTTGCAGAGCATCAGGGTCTTCTTAGTAAGGGAGGGAGGGGCCAGCTGTACGACGCGCACTTACACGGGGGTTAAACACCGAAACAGGACCCCACTCTCTCCCAAGCTGGTACGCGACCCCTCTTGCTGCCTCCAAGTGTCATCCAACTCTGCCCACCATGTTGGATGGTGGCCTTGCAGAGACAAGAGATGGCCAGAGAGGCCCAGGCCCGTCAGGCCCCCTCTGGAGTGTGGCCTGTGAGGCAAGTGGCCCCACTGAGTCTGAAAAGCAATGTGTCACTTTCGCAGCTTCCGGCACCTGAGGAGGAAAGGACGGGGATTCTGTTCATGCCGCCACGGCTCAGCATCTGCTCCTCTGGACCCACCCCGTTACCGGCTGCGAACCTCCTTCTTTCCTAACATTCCAAAGACACCCCAACTGGCCTCGCCCACGTGATGCCACTCGTGGCCTCACTCTTCAAGGGAGGGGTCGTGAGAAGCCCTCGACGAGAGTGAACAAGGGTCACACTATGTGCCCTGGCCTCTCAGAGCCCAGGAAGTGGGACAGATGTCTACCAGAGTGGCTTCTGGGAAGGCCCAGGGCTGCAAACTGGAAAGCTGTCTCAGGTCTACCTCAGGCAGACAGCACCTCCTCCAGGACATCTCTGACCTCTCAAGACGATGCCAGGTGCGCCTGACCACAGGCCTTGCTGGCCTCTGTGTCCTTGTGCCGGGCTCCTGCCCTGGAATGTGAGCCTTGTTTATGCTGATCCCAGTGCCAGCAGACACTTGGTAAATATTTGTTCAACCCATTCAACAGCTTCCCCTTCCCTGGCTCTTACCCCACTGGCAGGCTCACCCTGGACCTGCTCCAGGGCAGGGCCTCGATGGCTTCCCCAACAACTGCCACCCCACAACTCCTCACCTGCAGGTGTCTGGGTTGAGCTCTAAGCCCCGCCCTTGGCAACGGAAGAAGCTGCGGCGTCGGCAGCGGCAGCGGCAGGTCCTGGGGTCAGGGCGCTGGCGGCGCTGGGTACAGCGTGGGCAGAGGGGCCTGGGGCTGGAGTGGGATGGGTGATGTCAGCTTGGGAGTGTGCTCCGGGGGCAGGGCCCCAGCCCGGAACAGAGCGGGGCTGGGGGTGGTGGGGAGTGTCAGCCCTAGGAGGAGAAGCAACGTGTCTGGGGCGGGAAGAGTGTTCCCTGGAAGGAGCTGGGGGTGGGTCAGAGCACACACACGGGAGCAGAGGAAAAGGGGGGCGGGGGACACAAGTGGGAGGAAGAAGAGGGGAGTGGGCCACAGCTTCCTGACACACTCGCACAGCCCTTGCCCCACCCACACGTTGTGTCCTGGGCACTGGGCCTGGGTTCCAGCCCCACCTCAGCAGGAGCCCAAGAGACTCACCTGTCTGGCTTCACAGCACTCTCCCTTTTTTTTGGTCTGAAAGAGAGACCGACAGAAACAAGGAGGAGGAGGATCAGGAAAGCCAAGCATCCTACTCTCCTGCCCAGACCCCAGGCATGCCCGGCTCCACTCTGAAACCTGGTCCCCAGGGCGTGCCACCACGCCCACGCCCCCCACGCCTGGTCTCTGCAAGCCCAGAGGTGGGCCTGGCTGGCACCTGCATTCACACTGGCTGTGTTCTTCCAGGGACATTTCCCCCAGCTGACTGCTCGGATACCGGATCATGAGGATCTGTGTTCGGGAGAACAGGGAGAGAGAGTGAAAGAGGGAGGAAGAGAAGAAGACACTCCATGGGCAGGAGGGAGAACGGCTTGCCCACCTGCCAGGGCTCTGGCGGCCATCCCGTCAGCCCCGAGCACCAGCATCCACCCCCAGCCAGGCACACTCTACCTGCCCCAGTACCTGCATTCGGACTTGGTGCTGCCCAGTGGGCACGCATTCCAGGCCATCGTCAGGGCAGCAGCCGCCACAGCGTTGCACAGTCACACAGCTGGGTACCAGTTGTTTGGCCACAGTGCCCATGAGCTCCAAAGTTAGGGGCACCACCACCTCCCGCGGCTGGCAGGTGGCACGAGCATACACATCTATCCATGACACCACTGGGGACAGATGCATCATGGTTACGTCCCCACTGGGCTTTCTGCAGCTGCTCCCTAGTTCCCGTGTCACAGCCTCCCTGCACTGCCCCCACTTCTGCCCTCCCAACCTGTTCACCCAGAACCCAGGACCCCCACTTCCTCAGTTTCCACTGCTGTGAAATGGGCAGAAGAGTTTGCACCTTACAGAACAGCGATTAACCAAGACGATGAGCACACAGCGCACCTTCTCAGTGCTGGCCAGTGCGAAGCTGCTACTATTACCTTTCTTCTGGTGGCCGGGGGCATCAGGCTGGGAGCCGGGCGCCTGCGGGAGAGAGGAGACCTGGACCCGAGGGGCACTCTAGTTAGGGCCGCACTGTCCCCAGGGCTCTGCCCTTGCAGTCGGGAGGCTTCAACTCCTCGCTGACAATTCTCCAGATGGCTCTGTTCCCGAGTCCACTCTAGCTCTACCTGTCCCTCCTGGACGCCTGGGGCCTGCCCTGGCCATGCCCCGCCAGGCGCCAGGCGTGCTCTGCCAGCCGCGGCCTCTCTCCCCGCCTGGAGACCAGGCTTGTTCTGGAGGCCGCAGGTCAGAAGGGGGCACACTGGGCACCGAACCAGGTCGCACAGACACCGAGGCAGCTCCGCCCCCCGGCTGCGCCCAGGGAATGGGGTGGGGCAGGGGAGTGGCCCCAGGGATGGGCCGGGAGGCCAGTGGGGAGGAACACCTCCCAGGGGATGCCTGCCGGACTCCGGCGACGTCTGATCCGCGAGTACCCTCGGCCGAGGCCGCTTTTCGCCTCCCCACTGCCTCCAAC